TTTGCCTGCTCTCCATAAACCCTCAAAAACAAGCCCCATGAGATCACAAAAGCTACTGGCAGGTGTGATGTTCTTCAAGTTCTTTTCTGCCTGATTTCTCCTTGGAGAGGGCCTTGCCCCTTTAACCAAAGGCAGAAAAAGGGCTGAAAACTTTGGTAGAACTCTGTCTCCGCTGTTCAGTTCAGTTCAGTCACTCAGTTGTGTCCAACTTTTTATGACCCCATGGACTGCAGCACGCCAGGCTTCCCTTCACCAATTCCCAAAGCTTGTTCAAACTCCTGTCCATCGAGTCAGTGATGCCATTCAAACATCTCATCCTCTGTCATCCCCTTCTCCTCCTGCCTTCAGTCTTTCTCAGCATCAGGGTCTTTTCCAATGAGTCAGTTCTTTGCATCAGGTGGCCAAAGTATTGGAGTTTCAGCTTCAGCATCAGTCCTTCCAATGAATATTCAGGACTGATTTCCTTTAACATTGACTGATTTGATCTCCTTGCTGTCCAAGGGACTCGCAAGAGTTTTCCCCAACACCACAGTTCAAAAGCATCAATTCTTCGGCACTCGGCTTTCTTTATGGTCCAACTCTCACATCCACACATGACTACTGTAAAAACCATAGCTTTGACTAGATGGACCTTTGTTGGCAAAGTAATATCTCTGCTTTTTAATATGCTGTCTAGGTTGGTCATACCTTTTCTTCCAAGGGGCAAGCATCTTTTAATTTCATGGCTGCAAGTCATCAACTGCAATGATTTTGGAGCCCAAGAAAATAAAGTCTGTCACTATTTCCATGGTTTCCCCATCTATTTGCCATGAAGTAATGGGACTGGATGCCATGATCTTAGTTTTCTGAACGTTGAGCTTTAAGCCAACTTTTTCACTCTCCTCTTTCACTTTCATCAAGAGACTCTTTAGTTCTTCTTTGCTTTCTGCCATAAGGGTAGTGTCATCTGCATATCTGAGGTTATTGATATTTCTCCTGGCAATCTTGATTCCAATTTGTGCTTCATCCAGCCTGGCATTTCACCTGATGTACTCTGCGTATAAGTTAAATAAGCAGGGTGACAATATAAAGCCTTGTTATTTATTTGGTCCGGTACTTACACGCCTTCTAAAACGACTTAAGCTGGAATTTCTCATCAGAGATAACCACTAACATATCTGGACGAGAAAGAGATGCCCACAGCTCCCACAGAACACCAATACCAGGGATGTCTTGGGCTTCTCTAACAGAAGAGGCTTCCAGAAGCAGATGTTGTGGGGAATCTCTCACCCACTAGCAGGAGAGATTCAAGAATTGGTGATGTCGGGCCATACCACAGGCATCCTGCACAGAACCATGTCTCTGATCTTTTTAAATTGCGTCTCTAAAGAGAAGGATGATGCAGAGAGACAGGAGTGAGGAAGGGAAGGAGAGCAGCCTCCTCCTTGATACTATGTCTTTTTACTGGGAAGAGATTCTTCCATTATCATTTCTGGACCAATTGCCTTACTGAGAACAAAGAGAAGCAAACATGTGATGGCTTCTGTCAGAGTGTTTGTTTCTGTACGATGAGAGTAGGGGCAGGCAGGAGAAGTACCAGAGAAGCTACAAATAGGCTCTGGGTTCTGTCTGTGGCTCAAGAAAGGCTGCCAAGGCTGAAGTCAAGGTTAGGTCTCTGGGGCTCCCCAGATCCACCTGGAAAATATTTCCTGGGCTCAGAGCTTGGTGTGGAGGGATCAAAAACTCACAATTCCTCCTTTGAAGAGTTCCTATTTACAAGAAGGGGAAGGCATATAAATGGATCAGTCCAGCGATATCCTACACACTTCCTACCACTGTCTAGTGAGTATCTGCCCTGTGCTGGGCATTGTGCAGCATGATGGGGATTCAGACTTACCATCAGCTTGGACTCTACTGTTGAGAATACTGTGAGGGCACAGAGGAGGGTTTCTATCCAGACTGGAGATATCTTGAAAGTTATGTGGTAGAGGTAACAGACAGAAAGAAATTGGAAGGGAGCTCCATGCATAAGAAATTGCATGACTGATGCACAATGGTATGCAAAATTTTGAACCTAGGTTGAGACGAGCCTGGTCATGTGTGGACTACTGCTTACAGCACTGTGATTTTCAGATATACCAGACAAAAAGCCCTCCTTTCTGCCAGTGATTTGTCCTTTAGATTGACCTGGGGCCACATGGGCTATAGCAACTCCATAGTCTTATCCTCCAGGAGATGATGGGCCATTCCAGACACAGCTCCTCGGGGCTCTGAGGAAAGATATATAATTGGGTATATTCTCTTTTACCTATAGTCATTGTCATCTAAACATCCTTTCAATGGGAAAGAAATCCAAGAAGGAGTGAATATATGTATATGTATGGCTGATTCACTTTGCTGTACAGTGGAAACATTGTAAAGCAAGTATACTCCAATAAAGTTTCATTTAAAAACAAAGAAACAAAAATCATCCCATAGCAAGTTTCCTGGTGATAAACCTCACAACGTGGTGTTAAATCTTTGCTCATGACTCCAAAAAATACATTAAAGGGTGGTTGGTTAACTTAGGGGCTCAGAGCTAAACCCAGATTGCTGGGTTATGTGGAATGTGCAGGGGGCATGAGCATCTCCTTTCCTCTCTGGGGAAGGAATAGCGAGGATTGGAGCCCTACTGCATGCCAGGCCCACATGGTCTCACCTAGTCCTCACCCCCACACTATGGTCCCCACTTCACTGATAAGATGCCTGAGGCTTGGAGACCTTCACTAACCTGCCCAAGAACTTCCTGACCTGATGGAGTCAAGCCAAGATCGTTGCTGCTTCAAACAAGCTTCTCTGAGGCTCCCCATGGGCTTTCATCCTTGACGTTCAGGCGTCAGCTCAGACAGGAACTCTCTCCAGCTAAAGAAGTTCCTTTCTGTCACCACTTTTCCTTTCATAGCACTTACCCTCCGCAATAGGACAGCATGGCATAGTCATTGCTTGCCTCTCTCTCAGCTCCACAAGGCAGGAACCCTTTCTGACTCCTTCACTGCTATGTCTGTGTTGCTCCAAGCAGAGCTGGGTACATAAGAACCTCAAACACATACTTGCTCACTGAACAAAGCCATCTGTCCCTAAGCCCAGCCCTTTCATTCTGCTGGTTTCCTCAAGATGGCAGCCAGTGGCCAGTGGGCGTTATCAGGGAACCCCTTGGTGGCTGATGAATGATCCTAAATGCAAGACTTTCTGAGTTTCCCAAGTGTGAAGCAGGCAGTTCATAGATTTTCATTTTTACCTTGGCATAAGGACACCATCCAGGGACTTCCCTGGTTGTTCAGTGGTTAAGACTTTGCCTTCCAATGCATGGGGTACAGGTTCAATCCCTGATCCAGGAGCTAAAATACCACATGCCTCCAGACAAAAAACCAAAACATAAAGTAGAAGCAATATTGTAACGAATTCAAGAAAGACCTTTAAAAAACAGTTCACATAAAAAACTTTTTTAAAAAAGAGATACCATCTAGCAAGGTGACAAACCTTTGAGAGTCATGTATAATGGTATCCACAACTCATGCTCCCTGATGATTCAGACTTCTGCTCACAAGTCTGGCTCAGGCTTACATAGACTTCTCAGGCAGGCACCACTGTCAGCAAGTGCTGTTGCCAGTCGCCATGAGCATGGCCTTGCCCAGGCTCTGACTCTGCACTGCTGTTGTTTCAATCAGTTCTTGTGTATACTCACTCTCAGTGTTTATTTTTGTTGATTGCTCTTTTTTGTGTGGTGTCATTTTGATTGTGATTTTGTTCCCCTCCGACACTTTGATGTCTCCAAGTTATTTTTCCACTAAGATGCAGGGATAAGACCATCAGCCCTACTTAAGTCACAGTCCTGAAAGGGAATGAATCATTGTGCCTAACCCCAGGCCCTCATGGAATCCTGAATTACCTTGGTCTCTTATTTTGTTTGTTTGCTTGTGGCAAGGTGTATGCATTACTGAAAATCACCTTGCTGGGAAAAATGGGACGAGGGACTCAACAGTCAAACACATCATCAGTGATGCATGAAAAGAGACAAAGGGGCTTCCCTGGTGGTCCAGTGGTTGGAAGCTCACCTGCCAAGGCAGGGGCACAGGTTTGATCCCTGGTCCTAGAAGATCCCACATGCCCCCACGGCAATAAGCCAGCACCACAACCACTGAGCCAGAGTTCTAGCGCCTGTGCTCTACAACAAGAGAAGCCACTGTGGTGAGATGCCTGTATATGGCAACTAGAGGGTAGACACCAGCCTTCACCACAACTAGAGAAAGCCCATGCACAGGAACAAAGGCCCAGCATAGTAAAAAATAATAATAAAATAAATTAAAAGCCAACCTTATTTGAACAAAAGAGACAGAAAACAAACAACAACAACACAAAAAAACACCAGCACAGTTTTACACAGGTTAAATGGTTAAGAAATATATAAGGACTACAGTAAATGTGGTACCTTACCTTGAAAAGACCTGAGGTTTGCTCGTGGTGGTGGATATAGGAAGGGTTGAAGCTGATGCATTATTGTGAAGAGGGTTTTCTGAATGACACAGAAAGCTGTAACTGTGTTGCAGGCAGATGTGGCTCAGCACACATGGCGAGTGGGGTAGCTGGTAGATGTTTTGAGGTTTGTACATGGGCCTGTTTTGTGCCTTCCTACGTGGCTTAACTCAGCAAGGCATGGATTTCTGAACTCATCTACTATTTCTTGGGGACAAAATCTTGCATAAACAAATGTGAAATCCCCGTTATCCTTGAATCATTTCCTAATGTATCAATTGTGGTGGTTTAGTCACTAAGTCATATCTGACTCTTGCGAACCCAAGGACTGAAGCCTGCTAGGCCTATCCTTTGTCCATGGGATTCTCCAGGCAAGAAGACTGAAGTGGGTTGCCATTTCCTTCTCCAAAGGTATCAATTGTGTTGGAACAAATGCACATTTTCAAAGCACATGTTACAGCAGAACTGTCTGCACCTGACTGACAGTCACTCTTTCCTTGTTTACTCAGACTGGACCAAGAGGATTGAGTACCAGCCTGGCTCAGGGAGCGTGCCCTTATTCCCCAGCATCCACCTGGAGACGTGTGATGGGGCCGTGTCCTCCATCCAGATCACCACAGAGCTGCAGACCAACTACATTGGGAAGGGCTGTGACCGGGAGACCTACTCTGAGAAGTCCCTTCAGAAATTATGTGGTAGGCTTCCCTGTTCGGGTTATTTTTTAATTCATTGTTTTAAACAATATATATAAAGTGTATCTTACTATATTATGAAGGAATCAGCCCCTCCCCACTGCACTGGTACATGTAACCCCTGGATGAATATTAAGTTTACTTATTATGGTTAAATCAGCAATGCCCAACCCTTTTGGCACCAGGGACCAGTTTCATGGAAGACAGTTTTTTTTTTTTTTTTAAGTTTTTTTATTTTGTATTGCTGATGCTAAGTTGCTTCAGTCGTGTCTGACTCTCTGCAACCCCATAGACAGCAGCCCACCAGGCTCCCCCGTTCCTGGGATTCTCCAGGCAAGAACACTGGAGTGGGTTGCCATTTCCTTCTCCAAACCAGGAAAGTGAAAAGTGAGAGTGAAGTTACTCAGCCATGTCTTAGTGACCCCATGGACTGCAGCGACCCCATGGACTGCAGCCTACCATGCTCCCTCCATCCATGGGATTTTCCAGGCAAGAGTACTGGAGTGGATTGCCATTGCCTTCTCCAATTTTGTATTGGAATATAGCCAATTAACAGGCTTCCCAGGTGATGTTAGTGGTAAAGAACCCACCTGCCAATGCAGGATACCTAAGAGATGGGGGTTTGGTCCTTGGGTCAGAAAGATCCCCTGGAGGAGGGCATGGCAAGTCACTCCAGTATTTTTGCCTGGAGAATCCCATGGACAGAAGCCTGGGGGGCTATTGTCCACAGGGTTGCAAAGACTCGGACACGACTGAAGCAACTGAGTACACATGCACTCACGCACAGCTGATTAACAAACAATGTTGTGATAGTTTCTGGTGGACAGCAAAGGGACTCAGCCATACATATACACATGTCCCTTCTCCTCCAATCTCCCCTCCCATCCTGGCTGCCACATAACATTGAGCAGAGTTCCCTGTGCTATACAGTAGGTCCTTGTTGGTTATCCATTTTAAATATAGCAGTGTGTACATATCCATCCCAAACTCTCTAACTATCCCTTTTCCCCTTCCATTCCCCCCAGCAACCATAAGTTTGTTCTCTAAGACTGTGAACCTGTTTCTGTTTTGTTAGTAACTTCATGTGTATCATGCCTTTTTAGATTCCTGGAAGACAATTTTTCCACAGACTGGAGGTGTGGAGTGGTTTCAGGATGATTCAAGCGTGTTACATTTACTGTGTACTTTATTTCTGTTATTATTACATCAGCTCCACCCCAGATCATCAGGCATTAGATCCCAAAGGTTGGGGACCCCTGGTTTAAAGGGTTGGAAGGCATAGCTTTCAGCACCAACCATACCTGGTCAAACCCCACCATGTACTGACTCTAAGGCTGTGGGCAAGTGCTGAGAAAAAGCCTCTATTCTTCATCAGTAACATAGGGATGTTATGTTCCTGTGTACACACACAGGCACACACATGTAGACACAAGCCCCAGGTGTGGAAGAGCACCTAGCATGGACCTGAAGGAACACGGCTCCCCTGTACTGTGTTGATTTCAGAGAGGCACCTTCCCAGCGGCCAATGTGAAGGGTGGTGCCTGCCTCTTAGGGAGAGGTAGGTCTCCTCCTCCAGGACCAGCTATGGAACATGAAAGCTTACTGCAAATGAAAGTGCTGGACCTTTGTTCCAAAATTATGAAGAATTTTAAGGCAGAAACAGCAAAGCATGAAACCAAGCCGGGGGCCCCGTGTGACTGTTCAGGTCACATGCTGGTGAAGCCAGGCCTGGGTGCCCATGTTGGAGAAGAGCTGGGCTGGGAGGAGAGATGGGGAATGTGAAGGATCCAATTGTGGGGGACAGAGGGCTGGCTGTCAGTGGGCTGAGAGATGGTGCCGCAAGAAAGAAACAGGCTGGAACTGGGAGCCAGGCTGATGCAGGTTCTACCCGATGAAGCTTAGCTTTATTGAGCACCTGCTGTGTACACCTCACATGTGTGTGTGTTAGCTGTTCAGTCGTGTCTGGCTCTTTGTGACCCTATGGACTGTAGCCCACCAGGCTCCTCTGTCCACAGGATTCTCCAGGTAAGAAATCTGGAGTGGGTTGCCATTCCCTTCTCCAGTGAGCTTCACATGCCCTACCCTAATTCACGCTGAGGAGTGAATTATTCATCCAGTTTTAAACATGGACAATTAGAAGCCCAGAGAGGAGAAATTATTTTTAAGGTCACACAGGGAGTGACAGAGCCAGACTTTGAAAGAAGGTCTATGGGAGGGAGGGGCTCTTTGGCTCTGGATCTGTGATGCTGGGCCAGACCTCTAGAGCTGGAATGTAAATCTCTCAAGTCAACTGCAGAATAAGACACAGTGCTGTGGAAGTGGTCCCACCTGCTTGGTACACCAGATTATGGATGTGCTGATGGGCCTCTTTCCTCCCCACCATGTATATTTCATTTCTTTCTTGTTCTCTCCAAGACTATTCAGGCCCTCACACAGCCTCTCCAGCTGGACTGTGGGCAGCTCCAGAAAGAGCTTAGTCTTAAGACGGGGCCTGTACTTGGGGGTAACTCCATGTCCCAAGGAAGATGTGGCTTCCTGAACACAGCCTGAAGCCCCTCCTGGGGACCTCTCCACTACTGTCTTTGGAGCAGTTTTTCTCCCTCACCACTGACACATAGACACATGCACACACACTTCTGTGCACACACACACAAGATGCAAATACACATGTATGCACATACAGGCACACACATTCACGCACAGGTACATACAGGTACACACAGGCACACAAAGTGCACTCATGCACGCAAGGTACACACATGCACACAAGTACACACACATTCACACACAGATGCACACAGGCACACAAAGGAGGCACAGGCACACACACATGCACACTTAGGTGGGCAAAGGACACAAGCAGACACATGCACACACAGAGGTACACACATGCACAACAAGCAGGTGCACACATGCACTCACAGGTACACACATGCACACAGTGAACACACAGGTACATACACAGGCACACACTCACACCTTCATGCACGCAACTCTTGCCCAAGGACCAAGTGACAATTTGAGAACTGGATGTGCAGTATGCCCTGCTTGGGTAGCACAGTGCCCCATTTATCATGTTGCCAGGCTGGAAGGAGGGCCCATGGGAAGGCAGGTTTTTCTAGAATGATGCAGGAGATTGGGGAAAACAGCACAACCTAAGTATTCCAAACAGCTCTTGTAAAAAATGCCCATCAGCAGCCCACAGCACTGAGAAAGCTGCCTCCGGTGCTCTTTACTCCACGCACAGAGAAGCTGTCTCCGCCAACACCTCATTTTGAATGAATATCCCATCCCGCTCCCTGTGCACCTGAATTATAAGTCAGCTCAACCCCACGCCACTGCAGGTTACAGTCATTTCCTCTACTCCTCCAGGTTAGGAGATGATGGAGTCAACTTGTTAAAGATCAGATGAGCCCAAGGGCACATATAGGTGATTTGATTCTGAATGTTGCTGGGGGGAGAACAGGAGATGGAGAGAAGGAGAGGGTTTTTCAAGTGAAGAAACTTTAGAGCAAAATTGCATCTGGTTGTTAATATAGCTCACTCCTCTGGGCTGCCAGCCTCGCCTGGCAGGAAGGCAGGTTAATTCAGTCAGGAAAGCACTTTACCCTGAGATGCAAGCTTATCTGGTACTGAGAGCAACCCTTTGTCAAGCTCAGCTGGCAAAGAATCTGCCTGTCATGTAGGAAACCTGGGTTTGATCCCTGGGTTGGGAAGATCCCCTGAAGAAGGGAAAGACTGCCCACTCCAGTATTCTGGCCTGGAGAATTCCATGGACAGTATAGTCCTCACTTTCACTTCCTGATGCACACTTCTGGGAACCCCAAGTGAGCCTGACGGGGCTGGCCTATTCCTGCCTCCAGATCAGGAGTCTGCCTCTTGAATCTACAGAGGAGAAAAGGCAGAAGCAAATGAGTGAGACACATGCCCATCTGTGTTAGGTCTGCTTCCTCGGGCCCCACGCTCTCTCCAGACCGTGAGGGAAAGGCAGACCAGATCTCTTCTAAAGCGGAGCCTGGGCTGCGATTCCTGACTCATGTGGGGCTCCTTAGGTTCTGAAGGAGACAAGCTTCTCTGTGTTTTCCCTAGCTCATCAACAAGCTGCTGGCAGGGTTTCCCAGCCAGAGGGCCACCATGACACTTTAAGCCCCAGTGTTCATGCATTTTTCATTCTACATATCTTCATTGACTTTGGATGATAACAGGGAGACCAATTAGGATGTTATGGCCATAGTCTAAGCAAGAGATAATGATTTCTGAACTGGGGGAGTGGCAGTAGGGATGAACCTAAGACAGATTTAGGAGGCAAAATCAGTAAGAGTCAAACATGATTAGCTGTCAAGCAGTGAAAAACAGGGAATCTTAGAAGATTCTAATGTGAGCATCTAGCTGGATGAGAGTGCCACCAACCAGAAATAGAAATTCCAGGCAAGGGTGGATTTAGGGGACAGTGATGACAAATACCTGTGGAACAGCCAGGTATGGGCGCCCGGCTCTAGAATGACTCCCCACCCTCCCGAGCTCCCAAGGACCTGCCACCATCACACTGGCCCATCGTTAGAGCCCATTTCTTCCCAGTGTGCGGCCTCTTCTGGGCCACAGTACCCCATTTTTCCCCATCCCCAGCTCATTCCCATCCCTATGCCTTTGCTCATTTTTTTTCTTGCTAGAACCTCTCTCTCCTTTACCATTCCAAACCCTTTGCTTAAGTCAATATTTGTTGGTCATGTCTGCTACCAGAAGCAGTGCAGGAGGGCTCCTGGGTGCTTTTGAATTCTGGCATTGCTTCTATGACACTGTCCTTGTGCAGTAGCCCAGGCAAGGCTGCCTTCCCCTCTGAGAGAGGTCGGATCAGTGCCCACCTGCTTCCTCTTCCTGCAGCATCATTCACAAGGAGCAGTGATGGCATCCCTGAATAAGCAGCCATCAAACAACAACCGGACAGAGCCACTGTCAGGAAGTACCTGGCAAGTGCAGTAGCACCAGAAAAAAGCCTCTTTGTT